CCCATTCAAACATCCGTGGAAATGATATAGCCGACGAATTAGCCAAAAAGGCAGCGGATATTCGAGCGATTGGGCCGGAGCCATTCCTTTCGGTGAGCTACTCACTTATAAAGAAAGAGGTCACAATATGGCTCAATCAACGGCAGCAACTTAATTGGCAAGGAAACTTTAGATGTGAGCAAACGAAGGCGTTCGTTTTACACCCACATGAAAAGGTGACCAAACAATTAACGAGTTTAACAAAGCAAGATATAAGAATAGCGGCAGGGCTCATCACAGGCCACGCTAAAACCAATTATCACCTAAGAAAAATGGGTTTTCGTGACGACCCTGACTGCAGACTCTGTGGAAGGGGAACGGAAACGACGACGCATATTATCTGTGAATGTGCGAGGCTCAGTGACGTACGCAGCAGAACCTTCGGAAACGCTGTGATACTGCCGCGAAATGCACTCGACATACACAAGATCGTAAAATATTACCACGAAGCGTGCAAACAACACCATTGCTTTAAACGAATTTTTGACATTCCATAGAGTCGAACGGATCGGATTGATTACAAAGTACATCGAATTAAAAGATGTTACTAGCGGGCGTCTCGCAATAGGCTGAATTCAGCCTGAGCGACGAGTCTTTGACTCCCTGCATTTATCCAATAATCCAATAATCCAATACTTTGACGAACCGCATATCAGTTTACAAAAAGATCGCTTTAACCAGAATGGACGAAGGTGACAACATGGAAGATCACTTGAACAATTTGATCGGTCTTTTCCAAACACTAAATGACTTGGGTGATTCAGCAAGTGAACAATGGAAAATAGGCATTGTCTTTGCAAGTTTACCTCAATCCTATTCTCCACTTGTAACAGCGCTGGAAGCAAGACCTGATGAAGATTTGTGTTGGAGCCTTGTTTATACGAAACTTCTAGATGAATGGCAACGCCAAAATGAACAAGAAGAGCAAAAAATGAAGTTCAAAGAAGAAAAAGTTATGAAAATCTCCAATTCAAATCAAACAACTTTTTGTTATTTTTGCAAAAAGGGTACACACAAAATGCAAGACTGTTACAAACTCAAGAGACTGTTATCAAATGTTCACCGAAATTGAAAAATTCCAACAAGGAGAGCATGAGAAGAAAATGAACGCAGTACACCTTGAGAAGAAAATGAACGAAGCTAATCAAATAGATTCTGAAGACACAGAAATGATTTTAAGCATCGTAGCAAGTCCTGAAGTAGTCGAAAAATTAAATCAAACAGAAGAAACTCCAAAAGCTACTCATTTATTGAATCAAATCAATATATGGAGACAACTAAGAGAGTTTCAAATCACTAACGAAGCAAACATTGAGAATAAAGTAAAATTCTTGTCACATCTTTTTGGTCAAATGAAAGATTTAGACAACGAATTAACAGACGTTCAGAAGATAGCTGTTACTGCAAACCAACTGCCCAAAGAATACAACAAATTTGTTCAGGAATTTGACTCAAAGGGAGTTTACGAGTGGAATAAGTTCAAACAAAACCTATTCGAACAATGGAAGCTGGACCAAGCTGCTCGAAAAGACAACGGAAAATCAACCAGAAGAGTGGGAAATCAGAGATTACTACTACAAAAGGGAGCGAGTGCAAAAATGGATCAATTCAAGTACATCACGAAACCAACCAAATCAAGGCTATGAAGAATCACAGCAAGAAGAAAAAGGGGAGAAAGAATAAAAAAAGAAGGTGTTAAAAAAGGAAAACTGGCGAAATACAAAATCTCAGGTGTATCTTTGGAATCGAGAAAACAAAGAAGATAGAATCATCAAATTAAAATGGATCAAGCAAGAGCACAGTGAAATTAAAGAATATCATAGTGATTAATTCATCCGAAGATCAGATCAACGCTATGCTACCAAATGTTGAAATATTAAGATTGTAGTATACAATGAAATAATCGTAGTATGATATGAAATAATAAAATTAAATAAAAAGTGTCATTCTATTCAAAATACTCAAAACATACAGTTGTTCATTTAATCACTCCAACAATTTCGTCGCCCTCTTGCTCAGAATCCGAAGAATTAAAATGATTGTTCCTATTGTTATTATTATTATTGTTGTTATTTCTACCGTTTTCAGGATTCGAAGCGTCGTTATTACGATCGTTATTATTGTTGTTGTTTGGTGGCTGTTGGCTTTGAATCAAATTATTCGCTGTTGAATCTGTCGCGTTTCCCGAATTACCATTCGCCGTGTCTGTTGTTTTATCCGCTTCCGTCGGTTCTTTACTTGCTAATTCGACCAACTGATCGTCCGATTTTCCGTCAGTTTTTTCCCTTTCTACCGATAAGTTACCGACGGATTTGTCCTTCAAAACCGAATATGTCTCTTCGGCTGCTTCAAACGGATCGAAATGATAATGATCGACAACTGAACCGCCGTGGTGCGACTGTGTAATTCGATTTGGATCTAAAAATTGACTCTGTGCTTCTAAACCAGCAGCTCCGTCAAGCCAAGTCTCGTTCAAATTTTCTTGTACTGGATTTCTGTTGAAAATAAATGTTGAGGATGATTCGGGCACACTAAATATGAGCGATCTACGGCCTGTGGTCAAATCATGAACCGTACGATCTTCTATCGTTTTTAAATTTTTATCTAAGTCCGAAAAATGAGATAGATAGCCCGAATCGCTCTGTTTTTTATTATCGTTTTTCTTTGGCGGTGGCGTTCGTTGCATTGAAGAGTCGAATTCGAAAAGTGCACGAGTGGCAAATGCCAAATTCGATTTTAGGCTATGTGTGTTTAATTGTTTTTTAATAAGTCGGACGAAAACGAAAAGGTATGAAGAACAAATTCGGTTGTGCTTGCTGACTACTGAATTATGTATTTAATTGCACCATTTGATTTTAGCCGTGTGTGAATAATCGAAATCAACCAAAAAAAATGAACACTTCACTTTGAAACATGCAAATCAGTACTCACCTAACGACCTATCCCAACAATTAGCTCGTACTCGATTCTGATATTCTGCTGTCTCCAAGTTGGTGTCCAGTTACTCGTCTTCCGCTGCTGTTCGTTCCCACACTTTGGCCGCTTTCGTTCGTTTTTATGCTTCACCTCTGCTTTGCTTATGTTCTTCTTTGGGTCCCTTCGCTCGTTCTTCGTGGCTTACTGCACGTGTCTATGCAACGTGCGGGTTTTTTTTTCTCTCGGTTTTGTTCTGTGTATGGAATTCGCGTGTGTCTTTTTTTTCTTGCTTTTTCACATACACGAATGGAATTTGCTCGATGGTTTTTTTTTTCTCTCCGATATTCAAGTGTATGAATGGATTTTGCCCGATGTATTTTTCTATTCACTTTTTCGGTGCGTGAGTGGATTTTGATCTATGTTTTTCTATTATGCACTGTTTTGGTACACGAATAGTTTTTGCGTGATGATGATTTTTTATCACAAATCGCTCACTTGATTTCTCTGTGCACTTTCACTGACACGTGGAACTTTGATTTTTTCTTTTTCCCCCTTTTTTTTGGTTTCTATTGGTCTACGATTCCGTTATTTTTTTTTCGATGTTGTGAGTCTTTCGTTTGTTGCAGCGCCAATTTAGGTATTTTCCTCGATAGTTACCCTGGTGATGACCAAATCTCAGGCAGTTGCTTCGGTGGTTTACCCTGGTGATAATCAACTCTTTCCTTTTTATGCACAAATGACGCAAGACCAATTTTATTAACATACAATTCAAGACTGAAGTTTATTTCGTTACATGTTATTACATTTTGATATGCGCTATTCATTGATACGCCGCTCGTGCGGCGTCCGTCATGCGGCTATGCTTACCATAGTCGCACGAGTACGTTTGCCTCACTACACAGCGGCGAAAATCTCTCATTGGATAACCCTGTATTCATTTGTCATTCATTTGTTTCAGCGGCATTAAATTGTTTTGTTAATAATTGATGTGTTGAGTTTTTGTGAAAATCAAACTATGGAGAGATCAATCAATATGGAAAATTTTGAGTTGTTACAAGAAGAGTTTGACCATTTGGAGGATGAAATTCAAAGATTAACGACGGCCACCAAAAAACCATACAACATCAGAGTTCGCACAGATCCTATGAACATTTATTCTGAAAGTGAACTTCGACGACGTTTCCGATTGTCGAAAGACAGTGTGCGATACTTATATGATTTGATCGGTGCTGAGTTAGACCCATTGAAATCACGTGACGGGTTCACCATAAGTGGATTAGATAAAATTTTGCTCACTTCAAGGTATTACGCAACGGCCAGTTTTCATATTGCCACTGCCGATTTTTATGGTGTAAGCGAATCATCAGCGTGTAATATTGTGCCTATAGTTAGCGACAAGATTGCTGCTCTACGTGCACAATTCATACAAATGCCTGTTGTAGATGATGAAATTGAGCAAAACAAATGTGACTTTTTTAGCGTGGCTGGAATGCCGGGTATTATCGGAGCAGTGGATGGCACTTTGGTCAAAATCCAAGAAGTTGGCGGTACCCACAACAAAACGATGTTCTTTTGCAGAAAACAATAAGGTAATGTCGGGTCATTTGGGCCGGCTTAGCTTCTAATTTTAAACCTTCTTTTCATATGGGAATTTTTTAGAGTTTAAGGTATCGTTGGAAAGGTAACCTCCTAAGCTAACTTTTTGCCGAAGAAAGTCCTTCGATTGTGTCAGTGAAAAAAAATTATGTAAATTTTTCCAACTACCATTTTTTTGCCAAAAAAAAGGATGTCATTTGGGCCACTACAAAAAATCTGAAAAATAAGTGAAAATAAGTAATATAATGAAATAATAACACTGTATATCGACGTTTTGTTGCGTGTTTATTGATTTTTCGTCATGTACGATAAAAATTGACACTTTTTTTGGATTGTAATTCACTTTTTGTCATGTACAGAAAAAATGTTGGCGATTATTCGTCACTGTCATCTTGATCATCGACTTGGACGCTTTATTCGATTTGGACGCTTTATTCGCCTTTCTCTCAGCTTTCTTCTTTTCTGCATCCTCTCGTCTTGTCCGTTTTTCCTTCAATTCGCCAAGGTTTTCGGGCGATGTTAGCACGGCACTTTTCATTGGCTGCCGACCTCGTTTCGAAGTTTTTGGCTTTGGCGTTACTGCCTGTAATGGCCCGCTGAAAGCTGGTTCTTGGTATTCCGAATGCAACAGCGGACGAACGAACTGATTTATTTCCAATTTTCACGGCTTTGAGTGCAGTCGTTAAGACAGCTTAGTCAACTTTCCCTTGTTCGGTTTTTCGAGTATGCTTCGGCATTTTTAACACTATATTTGTAAAAAAACACGTTAAAATCTTTTTTACATTCACTAATTTCACTTGAAATACGATCATAAGTCATAAAAATGGCGTCTCTATGAAAACACACAAATCATGTTAGTGGCCCAACTGACCCGACACGAGTGGCCCAACAGAGCAAAAACGACGCCATTTTTGATGCAACCAAAAAAAAATCCATGATGAAATTTTGCCAGAATACTACGTAAATATCGAAAATAGATAAATTTTACAACAAATATACGATATTTACCTTCAACAATTGTCGGAAAATATTCAATTTCGAGTGGTCGGCAAAATGGTAAATTTGACTATTTTTCACAATTTTTTGTCATGTGTCTAGTTCACTAACAAGAAATGCGACTTGACTCGCCGGAATACCACCAATAGTGTTCATTTGGCAAGTCATTAACATAGCAGCAATGACATTTGACAGTCACTGTCAAATTTCGGAGATATGGCACCGGCCCAAATGACCCGACGGCCCAAATGACCCGACATTACCTTACTATGCAGTTAATACGCAAATAATATGTGATGCAAACGCGAAGGTACTCGATATAGTAGCAAGATGGCCTGGTAGTATACATGATGAGACGGTGTTCGTAAATTCGTATATATTTGAACGATTTTTACTTGGTGAATTCGCGCGCAATAATCGAATTTCAATTTTATTGGGTGATGGTGGCTATAGCTCACAGCCATTTTTAGCCACTCCGTTGAGAGCCACCAATCCAATGAATAGACTCCCAGAACGCATGTACCAAACAGCACATATTTCGACAAGGAACGTAGTCGAACGATTCATGGGCCAATGGAAACGAAGATTTCCATGTCTTTGGATCGGTATGAAGTTTCGCAAGTTGGAAACCGTTTTAAATGTCATTGTGGCGACCGCAGTGCTGCATAATATTTGTAAAAGTCGAGGCGATATGCAACCACCAACACTATCAGGAGAAGAAGAGCGACTTTATAACGCAGCGGTTCAACAAGAACGTGAATTTCATCAATCGCAACAACAGGGGCAGAGGCTGCCGAACACAATATTAAACGATTTCCTCAGAACATATTTTGAAAATGTGGCGAATGCTCAAGGTCAACAACAACAATGAAAACATTATGAAAATTATTCTATGTGGTCAATCAATAAAAAAATGTTATTAATACCACATTTGGTTTTATGATCAACCTAATGTGTTTTTTCCATTCATTTATGATTGTTTCTGTTGATTTTAGGATTTTTCACTTGAAATGGCGTTCAAATGATCAAAACATATTACAAATATCCTTTGGGAATCATAGTTTTTTTTTCTGAAATTCAGCTCATTTTGGTCAGTTTTTCAACTTCATTCGTCATTATTCATTGCTAAATTATGTTCTACATACATGATATGTCGATACAAATACCTCGCTAAAGTTAACCCTCGGACTTAAACCATGGTCAGAGCTCGGGTTAAAATCCGAGGGTTAAATCCTATTTAACCCTCGGGTTAACGGCCAATTTATGTTCTTTAACTCGCAATTTTAACTCCCGGGGGTTGAATATTTGTCAAAAGTTAAAGTTAACCCCCGGGGGTTAAAAATTTTGTATGGAAAGTACAGAGATGACTGAAGCGCACCGAGTGACTGAGCAACGGCCGCACCGCTACTGTGTTTGCGTGCGTAAGACATGCTCAGTGCGTTAGTGCGCTGTAGCACAGACGAAACCACTCCATGAAGTGCGTACAAGCTCACCAACAGTGTGCGCTCCGTCGCACCCGTAAACAATTAATGGTCGCAAATAAGGATACTCAGAAAAAACACAAAGAAAATAAACACTCAAATCTTTGCATGCTGTGTATGAATGCTAATGCACGTTCGAATAAGGCATACTTTATTATCGGCTTTCAGCGAAGATTTTTTGTTTTGTTTTGTTTTGAAATAATTTTTCTTTATTTGAATTCAGAATTCAACGCTTGAATTGTGCGATGAATAATCTTTGCTTCACCATTTCAATGCATTTTGAAACATGCACTTCGAAAAAAATCAATCGATCTGGGTTTCCTTCAACACGCACAGTAAACAAGTCTGAAACAAAACAAAGTAATGTAAACAATTGTCAAGTACTCATTTTGGCGAAGTAATTTTTATTACCTCTGGCGAATTGCATTTTGGCATCCTCCAAATCAATGTTATCGGGGTCCATTTCCGAAATTTGAGCCACACCAAATATGCCTTTCATCAACAAATTTGTGAATTTCAAATCGAACAATTCGCCATTCAAAGCCGTTTTCTGCTGATCGTTGTAGAACTCGAGTAGCCCATAAATTGCACTGGAAATCGTAACATCAGCACACGGAAAATAGCGATCGCCTTTGCCCTATTCGAAAAATTAACATGTTTTTAATGAAAAACAAGTGTAAATAGCACATCAGAAAATTTGATGTGTAATTATAACTCACGTCCAAAGCGAATATCATATGCCCAGCGACTGAATCGAAAAGCGATGTAGGAGCTGGATTGCTTACAGTCGTTGTTGAACTGTCGACCAATGAATTACTGTCATCAACACCGGTTAAGTTTCTAGTGCTCGCAATTGACTGTGCATTTGATTCAACACCAGTAGTAGCAGAATCGTTGTTTTGCGAAGAATTTTCGGATGAATTGTCATCGTATTGGAACAAATCATTGTCCAAATCATCGTCAATATGATTTTGTGGCTCTTGAGAAACCGAAGCAATTTCATCATCGACATCCATGACTGTTTCTTGCAAATCCTGTAGCTCCCCCGGGTCTAAGTCAGCGATCGCCATTTGGCGTTGTAATTGTTGCACCTTGCTTTGCAATCGATCGACTTCTTGTTCCAACTTAACATGCACCGTTTGGTTGCATGTTTGGTCGTCTGGGTCTGGAGCATGCCAGTCATATCGAACCAAATTTTCATTGTAGACAGCACCCAAGACCGGACGCGCTTTTTTCATGTGATTTTCGGCCGATTCAAATGTGTCTGTTTTCATTAAATCAGAATTTATTATAATTTCTTCATATTTTTCCTCTCAAATTATTTAAATAACTTACTGAATGCGTGTTTCATTTGTGCCTTATAGCATGCCGGGCCATCGGCGTACACTTCTTTGATTTCCAAACGAAAATTTGGATCCGCATCATTATCTTCGCAAAAAAACACTTTATGCAATTTTGTTTTACTTGCACCAACATTAAAAATTTGTGCCAAATCAAGAGATTGAAACCATTGAATTGGAATGACCACTTTTTTCGGTGGCTTGGTCACCAAAATCGCCGATACGTACATTTTCAATTTTCAAGGAAAATTATTTCACAACGACTTTACTGTTTGGCACACGGAATGATTTTGAGCGCGCAATACTGTTCGGATGATGCCTTTTGTTTGTGTTTGTGTGTGCGTGTGCGTGAAAGACACAATGACCGAATTTATGGTGGACGTTCATCTCCTTTTATCATAATGACATAATTTGCATCCATCTCATTTTATACAGCGTTCAATACACTGTCAATACATAATTGGCGCGTTAAACGTTAGTGATGACTTTTCACTAACACAATAATTCACACACTTTCTAGAAGTTTCTTTTCGTGAATTGTCTTTGTATAGGCGCCAAAAACGTTTTACATAAAATTTTCTCATCACATCATTCATCGTACAGTAAGCAGTCAAGTGTCGCTCTCTTTTCTGGCATATTTTATTCAAAATAATTTTGAAAAAACTACAATGAGCTCAGTATTCACATCAACTGATGCAAAAAAGTTATTCGGTGATATTTTCGTCCGCGATACATCGAAACAAAAATCGATTTGTATTTTAGAAAAAAATGGAAAACAATGTGGCGCTGGAATCAAAAGCACACGGCCGTTCAATTTAAAACGACACGTACAGAATGTTCACCCCGAATTTCAAAATCCAATCGTAAACAACGATATCATCGAAGTCTTGGAAGAGGACATACTGAATGTTTTCGCTGAAATGTTCACTGTAAATGGCCGCCCATTCAGTTTACTCAAAGATTCGGGATTTAGTAAAATGTACAAAATGTTGATTGAGCAAATTGAGCTCCACTCCAAGCAAAAAATACACGTCGATCTGAATAAAATCAAGGAACATATCGATTCGACGGCGCACGCAATAAAAGAAACTCTAAAAAAAGAAGTCAAAAATAAACCGATTGCTTTAATGATGGATATTGCCACGAAAAACAACAGAGCCATTTTGGGAATAAATATTCAGTATATAGTCGATAAACGAATCGTTCTTCGAACATTGGCTATGATTCGATTGAAAGAGTCACATACGGCAGTACATTTGGTTGAAGTGGTTTTAGGCATTTTGGCGGAGTTCGGAATCGCATTGGATCAACTATTTTCGGTGACCACCGATAATGCTGGCTATATGTTGTTGTCAAGTGAAATTTTAGATGAAATTGCAGAGGAAGATTCGGATGGCACTGAATACGCAGAAATGTCCGAAGAACAAATTGACGAAGAATTCTATCGACAGCTGCTGAAGGATACTGAGCAAGAATTTCTTCATTATACCACACCAGAACATGTGAAATCCATTCCGTGTGGTGCTCACCGATTTCAACTGGCAATCCAAGATGCATTTGCTGAATCATCAAAAGCTGATAATCTGATTGGAAAGATCCGAGGAGTGATGAAAAAACTGCGTACACCGAATTTGTGCAATGCTTTGAATGAGCAAAACATGAAAAAGCCATTTCTTGATAACAAAAGACGGTGGAATGGAAAATATTTTATGGTGAGAGTTTTTGAAATGAATAAGTTTTTAATAAAAAAACAGCTCACAATTGATTTTTGTCGCCTTGTTTCGTACGGCTCCGAATAAAAAAACACATGCGTTATTACTCATTCATTATTCAGGTAAAAAGGTGTTTGGAGCTAAGGGAATTCGTTGATATGATGGCAGTGACCGACAAAACATTTAAAATCACCGATGCAGAATGGCTTGATTTAGAAGAATTGCGAGACGTCCTTCATGATTGTGCCGAATTCACAAAAACCATTCAAGGCGTACAAATCACTCTCTCAGATTTTTATGCCGAGTGGGTTCAACTCAAATTGAAGCTGCAGCCAAAACAACGTATCAAATTCGTTGACAATCTCATCAAACACATGGGTAAGAGAGGGAACGATTTGCTAACCGATCCATTGGTTTTGGCATCATTGTTTTTGGACATGCGATACAGAGTGTTATTAAATACGAAACCAATACAAAAGCAACTGGCGATGAATCAATTAACACTGTTGTGGAAACGTGTTTGCTCGTTGCGGCCAGAAAATCAACAAGTTGAAAATACATCAGAAGCCACATCTGATACAGGCGGCACTGAAAATGATTCAAATGTTATGGATTCTTATTTAGATTCATTGGAGTCAAGTTCTTATCAGCCGTCAACAAACACAGCAAGCGAAGACATTATGTTTAAATTGCAACAATATAATGTCGAAGCCGAACAAAAGAAAAGAGAACCGAAAACACGACACCCAATGGATTTTTGGTATGAAAACCGGCATACGATGCCTGAACTATATGAATTGGCAAAATTGGTTTTTGCAGTATGCCCAACAGAAACGAGCGTTGAGCGTAATTTTTCTGGTTTGTCGTATGTTTTGAACAGATATCGAGGCAATTTAACGGATAAAAATTTAGAGACTATAATGTTTGTGCGATTAAATAAAGAATTATTTGACCGTGTCATTATTAAATTGCAATAAAAAAAATTATGAAACATTCGTATATTTTTTGTTTATAAACAAATGGTTGCGATTTTTTCTCTCTTCTCAGTCTTAGCAGCTTAGTTGGTACGCGCACACCGCACACACACATCAATGGCTCTCAGCAACAGAGTCAAAGTGCGCACTCAACGGTTCGACGAAGTGAGCGTAAACGCACGGAGTTGAAAATGACGCTGAATCGAGTTGCCGCAAACGCTACTGAGCGTGCGATTAGTCATCTCTGGTTCACAGTAAACTTTTAATAGTTCGAAGCTAGAAAAATGCTGAGTCGAAGTTCTTTCACACTGCTGCTCATTGGCTTGATGGTATCCGAGGTGAGTCGACAATTTCAGTCGATTTTTTTAAAAAATGTTCATGTTTGACTTTTCGTGGACAATTTGTGATAATTTTTTCTAAAATAATTTAAAAAATGAAAAGTGTCCTTTTTCCAAGTTCTTAAATTGAAAAAATTCTTCTATTCCAAAAAAATGCCCTCCGCAAACTTTTATTCTATTAAAAACAGTTGAAAACTGTTATTAATACATTTATAATTAATCTCATCCGTCGTTCCCATTCCAAATGTATCACTTTGATTCTATTTCCACAGTCCTTAATCGGAGATGTGAGCGGAGCACCACCCGGGAGGAACGGTAAGTTTGAAGTTTCATTTATTTATCCAGTTTAACTCTTAAATTCCATATACAAAGCACCCTGTAACGAAGATATGGGAACCTCATTTATGCTAAACCATACGGCGAAAATGCGGCAGAAAAAATCAGCAAAAGCCTTTAATGTTTCAAACGTTTCGGTTTGATGGCGCTGTCAGAAGCTCTCTGAAGCACATTAGAAGTAGTGAACGTGATTATGACAGATAATATCACGGACGACGATAGTCCGACAAGTGACGCTCCATAGACTGTGCAATGTGCATTTCAAGCCAAATATCAAAAATGCCAGTTTTTGCGTCACGAGTATATATACAGTAAATATGCTATTTTCCCAGGACAATCTTTGGGCCCCGGCATGTTAGCTACCGTTGGAAAGGTCTTGGCCCAAATAGTCGGAAACACCATATCCCCCATGCCTAAAGTGTGGTCTAGGCAAAAATAGAGCGGTTGGAAAATTTCGATAAATTTTCAAATCTATACCCATATCTTACGAAGGGGGTACCCAGGGGGCGATCTGAGGTGTCCAA